TTATTTTTTATCGACGTTGAAAATGGGTCCCCCCCCCCCCGTGTTTTGTTCCTTAGAATGATGCAGCCAAAGAGTTCCAAGAGAAACACAAAAATGAAATGGAGAAGATTAAAGACATGAATCTTTCAGAGTGAGTATTCCCAAAGCAATAGTCCAAACTGCACTTATTTAAAGGGATAGTTCACCCAAAAATAAAAATTACCTTATAATTTACTCACCCACAAGCCATCTTAGGTGTATATGACTTTCTTCTTTCAGACAAATCCGATCGGACTTATATTAAAAAAATATTTATAATGCCAGTGAGTGGGTGTTTCTTGTCAATTGTCCAAAAGAAGTCCAATAAAGCGCATCCATCCATATAAAAAGTGTCCCACATGGCCCCGGGGGGTTTATAAAGGCCGTTTACCGTTTCCACCCTTTCTCTGAGCTAATTAATAAGCTAGTTAATGACCAATTTAACAAGATGTAAAATGTTTTTAATATTTTAAAGTAATATATTTTATATAAACATTTTTCCACTCATTTGGCTGTGCGGTGCAGTTGACCACTCTTATCCATTCTGAATTTTTCATGAAGGTACATGATTCGAGGAGATGATGAGGAATGGGACCACGTGTTGAAGAAAGCAGGACATACAGCTATTGTTAGCATAAAAAGGTAAACAGAGTTATAAGCAGCTTGGGTAGGGGAGGTTTTGTCTGGAATCATGAACTGCTATGAACTATGATCTTTCTGTTTTACCCCTTAGTGACAAGAAAAGAAAACTGGAAGGCATGAACCAGAAAGAACAATGGCAAAGCAAGAAGATTAAGAAAAATAAGGACAAAAAGAGCAAATTTGGAAAGAAACCATAAAGAAATTAACTAAAATTAAAATTTGAAATGTCTTTGTGTCTTGTTTCTGTGGTCAGTAGATTTAAGACCAAATGAAAATATTTCAGTAAGAATTTTAAAGACCAAATTGTTTTAAAAAATTTTCAGCAAGACTCCCCATGTATTATCAGTGAACAAACAAAAAGTTGTACATTGTTGTTTTTCTTTTAACCACATTTCAGAGATTAATATTCCCATGGTGTAGACCTCATGTTTTTCTGTGAAAGCTAATTTCAGAAGCCATCTGTAAAATAAATGATAATCTTATGGTGCATTACTTGTGTACAAAATATACTCATTAACATTTGACTGTTTGCTAAGCTTAGTAAAAATACTGATTTGAGAGATGGGTACACACTACATAATATTTTGTTTTCTTTACACACAATGCGTAAACAGGTACTCAAGATTGCCATGCATATGCAACTAATGTTTCAATACCACTGCAAATACTTTTTTATATTGCTTTCAGAAAGCATATTTAAATCTTTTACCCATTGGAAATAACTTGCAGTGCATACAACAAAGTTTAGACAGTGTACTGCAAAATAGTAGGATTAGAATGGGGACATGTAAACTTTCAGAGCATTGAAAAGGCTGAAATCCAGTGATCTTTGTGCTCCCATGGTTTGATCTTTCATTGGTGGATCTTTATGACACTACATTGCTCAACAACTGCATTGATAAAAGAAGCGAAGATCCTTGGCGTATTTTCTTCAGGATTTCCAAAAGGATTTTAAAATAATTATTTGTCGTTTTGCTGTCTCGAGGGAAAATAACTCACTATGGAGATACCTGTCGTAGATGTCAGTGTGTACGAACTGGAAAAGACCAATGTATCAGTTGATAACTTGGAGAAGATAAGTGCCGAACTAAGAAGGGCCTTTACCGAGGTGGGATTTGTTTATCTGAAAAACACGGGCATAAATCAGGACGAGGTTTGTCATTTTGTGCACGTTTGTTACGAGAAGTTTTCTAGTAGTTCGTAAATGGCTGGCTATTATTATTCTGTCCATTGTTTTAGGTGGACAAAGTTATGGGTGTTTCAAAGAAGTTCTTCTGTTTGCCAGAAAGCATGAAGAAACCTTTCAGCAGGAGCAGTTTCTCGTGTAATGGAAACCACGGCTGGGTTTCGGTAGAAACGGAAAGGCATGTCAGACTCTTCTAGCTTCAGAAGCATTAACGTTACTGCTAAAAATTAACGAATGATGGAGAATTAATGGTTTTATATCCTGTCATTTTACAGTTTGAATCCTCGACGTCACGGTGATCTGAAGGAGGCGTTTAATACAGCATCTTTGTGCTCGGATATCGTAAATACCTATTTCGTGTCTTCTTCCCTTTCTTCAAGTGGTACTCACTGCAGAGTCAAATAATTATACTTTTACAAGAGTTTTAATTATAATTTTTTGAGTGAAAATATTTCCTGAGAAGACTTTGCATGGGTTCATACGAGCCTCTAAAAGGGACATATGTTTAAAAAAAGGATTGCAGAAAAAAAATTATATATATATATATATATATATATATGTGTGTGTGTGTGTGTGTGTGTGTGTGTGTGTGTGTTTCAGTGAGGGAACGCAATTTTGCGAGAGAACACAAAAACATTGAAATATTATTTGTAGTTCCATCTCATAAAAAAAAAAAAAATTTGAATTAGACAATACTTATTTCCAGTTATTAGTTAGCCTATTGAGAATTCTTATAACAGTATTTTGCTGCTTAATATTTACGTTTTTTTCAGGATTATTTGATGGAAAGTTAAAAAACAGCATTTATTTGAAACAAATATTTTGTAACGTTATAAATGTCTTTACTGTCACTTTTGATCAATTTAATGTTACCTTGCTAAATAAAAGTAGCTATTATTATTATTTTAATCTTACCCAAAACTTTTGAGTGTATCACGTTTCCATACAAATACTAAGCTGCAAAAAACATTTTCAAAATGGATAATAAATGTTTCTTGTAGCAAATCGGCATATTAGAATAATTTCTGAAGGAAATTATCTCTCTCTGAAGGAAATTATGAATCTCTCTCTCTCTCACACACACACACACACACACACACACACACACATGCACACACACCTATACAGAAATTGGAAAAAAAGTAGAAATGACAGCTAGCCTTGGCTCTGTATATGTTGAAAAACAAAAAAAATTATATTTAAAATATAAAGTATTTTTTAATATGCACAAGTTTTTTTTTTATAGCATTAACATTAAAATACTGTAAGGAAGCCTGACTTTATAACCCTTCACTTTCAATGTGTTCAGAATTGGCCTTCAGAAGGAGTTGATGATTTTCGAGATGTGCAAGTATCATTTTTCCTGCGCTGTAAGGAACTTTCTCTCAGAGTGCTCCGATTGATGGCTCTTGGTTTGGGCCTGGAAGCAGAGGTCTTTCTCAGTGCACATAAGCATATTGGAAGTAAGTAAAATGAAATGCACTACTTCATCCCATGCAGTGAGTCAATGGCTGGGAGGCCTGCAAGACCTTTATGATGTGGGTTGTTTTAAGGTGATGTGAATGGAACGACACTACGGGCTCTGTACTATCCTCCGGTGAACAGCACATGTGTGAAGGGAAATCAGCTGCGCTGTGGTGAACACTCTGATTATGGGAGTATCACTTTGGTCTTCCAAAGCCCAGAGGGTGGACTGCAGGTGAATACCAATATAGGACAAGAGGAGAAAAGATTCATGTTTAATGTGGTCCTTTATCATTTAGGATAGTGATTTTATTATTGTTCTCCTCCAGGTCCTGAACCGGGCTGGCGAGTACATTTCAGCCCCCAGCATTCCTGGAACAGTTCTGATTAACATAGCAGACCTGATGCAAAGGTGGACTAGCGATGTCTATGTGTCTGCCGTAAGTTTCTTTACTAATATTGCATTTCATTTAATTGTGCAGTGCAAGCAACGCTTATTTCTTTTCTGTTGTTCTGACCCTCAGGTTCATAGGGTTTTGCTGCCCCCTGCAGGTGACTCTGGCACACGTCAGTCTTTGGCCTTCTTTGTACAACCAGATGATGAGGCCATCATTTCATGCTGTGATGGATCAGATAAATATCCTCCTGTTAAGTCAGTTGATTACCTTTTATCAAGGTTCAAGGATTCTTACGGCAAAAAATAGATCCTAATTAAGTGAAATTTTTTGATTTTGTGTTTGAAAAAAAAATTAAGTGATAATCATCAGAGCACAGTTGGTGAACCATAGATAATTTAATACATTGTAGAGAGTCGTAAAGCACATTTCATGCTTAAAGGGTTAACTATCCCTTTAATTATATTTCTGTATATTTTATCAATGTATACATTGTTTACAGTAGAACACTGGTTGAAAACCATAATAACATAATGAATTAAAATAAAACAGCTTGAAAAAAAAAATCACTAGTGTTGCAGTAGTAATTCATCAACATTTTCAGAAACTTTATTAAAAGACCCTTGTAAATCAATTTAGGATTGACTTTCAAGTGAAACTAAAGCAAACAAATATTCTATTCTATTCTATAGTCTTTTCATTGGAAGTGCCGTACAATAGGAATGCTGACTCGGGCATTTAACTTAACATGAAGTGTGTTTATTGCCCAGGTATAATATCAAATGCCTAAATGTAAAGAGAAATTTATCCTATGAGGTTTATCCATGTTTGTGCAAACATGGCTAAGACATTTACAAGAACAATAAAAATACATTTAATTTCTCTAAATACAAGTTTCAAGTACAATCCCTGTCCTCACAAACTTATCTGCATTTTAGATAAGAGAATGTGGACAGAAGTGTGATTGTCTACAGAGAATTCTGTTAACCATTTACATACTTCAGCGACCCGTTTTGGGATACCGCAATTCAATATTTTTTGTGTTTGAGAACACCACCACAATGATTTGTTTGATTACTTCAAGGATAGCCAAGGTCTTTGCTAAGTGACAGTAAATGGTCCATTTGAATGTGAGGATGGAAATCTTTGACACTACATACAACAGACAAACACATTACAGACACTGAGAAGAGCTTGAGCTGCTAAGAATGTGCGGGGAGGTCTTGCTGATGACCGTGTGACAAAGGCTGACTGTCCCCAGGTAGCATTTCCGCCGCAAAAGGTACTGCATTTGCCAAAAACAGAGATATAATGATAGAAAATCAATATTTTGTTCCAAATGACAGGGCAAAATTCCTTTGACCAGAAAAATGTAAAAGAATTACACTGACCTTTGTCCTGTACTGGAGACTCTGTTTTCTGTGTTTTCAACCGCTCCATGTGCTCTACCGCCTAAAAGAAATGATCAGTATGGTAGAAAGCGTTGAGGTGAGAGAATTCTAGCTTCAAGACATTTCCCTTATGTTTTAAAAAGGGAATATTTTAGTGACATAAGCTAAAAGCAGTGCAACAAAACTTTATCATAAACACTCATTTAAAAGTGTGGGGTCTGTAATTTGTGTAGATTCTTATGCGATACATTATGTAAAACCGTAACGCATTTTCCCCCAGAATTCTTTGATGAATGTAAGTAAACGAATGGCATTTATTTGAAATATAAATCTTTTGCAACAATATCAATGCTTTACTGTCATTTTAAGCAATGTAATACATCCTTGCTTTATAAAAGTAATAATTTCTTTAAAAAAATCTTTATATAGTTATATATAAAAAGTATTAAGTATTTCTTTTTACAATTGAAATAATTTATAGTTATTTCCCATTACAGTAATGATAGTGAGATTTATTTGAATAATGGTAATGTGAATGGCGGAAGGTGCTTAAAGGGGTCATATGATGCGATTTCAATTTTTCCTTTCTCTTTGAAGTGTTACAAGCTCTTGGTGCATAAAGAAGGTCTGTAAAGTTGCAAGTTGTGACAGCTAAACTACTTTGTTTGGACTTCCAAAAGAGGACGATATCTGTTTCGTCATGCCTGGAGCTGATAGCTGATCCGTGCTGGTTAAATATTGCCACAAAAAATCATAATGGCACTAAAAATAAGCTTCATCTACTTTAAGCATAACATTTCGTTCTTTTTATTTAGGGGGTAAAATACAATATAGACATGTTCTTGACAGGTTTTATAAGATTTACCCATGAACTCGTGTCAGATAACAACAACGTCTCTTGGTGGTTCTTATAGTTACGGACAAAATAATTTACATGATTTTTCCAGTCATTTTTGATGACCTGGTAAAGATTTCAATAGAGAGTGGACTTAAAGTCATCAGGACTAAAAAATAACTCCTATATGCGTGTATATATAACAAAGATATATCCGTGACATTTCAGTGACCTTATTAATTTCCATGACTTTTTCAGGTCTGGAAATCACACTTTGTAAATTCACTCGTATTTGGATGTTTTCCAGGACTGTGTGAACCTGTGTATCACTCACTCAGTATCTGGCTCCAAAATCAGTCCTATCTAGTTTTTTAAAATGTATTTGTTTCTCTTAATCTCTCACTCTCCTACCTGTTGTAGCTCCATTTTCTGGGCGTTAAGCTGTCCCTGTTGTCTCTCCAGCTCCTCTCGCTGTTTCAGCAGCTCATTTGATCTCAGGTTCAGGTCTTGCTCCTCTCGAGCCAGATGCTGCTCAAACTCTCTCAACTCTTCTTCAGTGTACATTGGATTCTGTTCCAGAGTCTCAAGAGGAAGCAGACAAAGGACATTTTTACATAAAGAAAACAATTTTATGAAATGTACACTTTTTTTAAAAGTTTTTGAAAGAAATCTCTTATGCTCACTAGGGCTGTCAAAAAAAAATAGAATTTAAAATATTCGTCGAATTTAAAATAAAAATCCACATTCTTGGGTGTGCGTTAAATGGGGCAGCCTTATCAGCGGCGCACGAGATGCGATGACGATGTAAGTGTCATTGCATTATAATGTTTTTGTTAGTCTATCCAGTTGAAGCCACTAGATGCGGCGCTGCTGCTTTGTTCATTAAAAATATTGTGGAAAAAGAGAACATCAATGCAGAGAAGATCTTGTTTACGTCAAAACTGAAACCAAGCCGTTCACACAGAACGCATATTTCACGCATTTTCTAGAGGGACATCTATCACCGTTGCACTCGCATCTCGCACAAAAGAGCCGCATGTTTAGAAAGCCATGTAAAATTAATGCAAGTTTAACTTTGAAAAAAACATATATCGAGACTTTATGGCCGGTTTTTCCCCATCCCACTGCATCTCATGTTTTTAAATAAAAATTAGGTCCGTGTGATTGGCTTTCCGCCCTTTGTATTCTATGCATACATACATGATGCTGTTTTGTTTATAGTTGTTTAAGCAACTTATTTATAATTGGTTTATAAACATTATTTTAAACATTATGCACTTTTTTTCATGGATAGTCATGTTATCTTATGCTTTGAATGATGCGCCCTCTTGCGGCCTCAGGAGAGAAGCCAAAAGCTTTTCTTCACCCTAACTGAAATTATGCATTTTAAATTCGAATTTTGATAATATTTAAGTACAAAATTCGAATTTAGTTTTTCAGCCATTTTGACAGCCCTAATGCTCACCAATTTTGCATTTATTTTGTTAAAACTACAATTAAAACAGTAATATTGTTAAATATTATTACAATTTAAAATAACTATTTTCTATTTTAATATATTTGAAAATGTATTTTATTCCTGTGATGGTAAAGCTGAATTTTCAGCATCATTACTCCAGTCTTCAGTGTCACATGATCCTTCAGAAATCATTCTAATAGGATTTGCTGCTCAAGAAACATTTCTTATTATTATCCATGTTGAAAAGAGTTGCGCTGCTTAATATTTTTGTGCAAAACATGATACATTTTCAGGTTTCTTTGATGAATAGAACAGCATTAATTTGAAACAGAAATATTTTGCAACATTATTTGCAATAACGTTCAAACTTTTCAACAGCAGTGAACCTTTAGTTTTAATGAAAAGCAGTTGACAGATAGGGAAGATTTTGTTTCATGTTGACCCCAAAAGTAAAAA